TTACCTTCTGGAATTAACAGCCAAATTCAGTAGAAACCGACGTAGTTATTAGTACATGCAGATATAGGACATAGAACTGATGATAACAGATCATGAACTATTCATCTCTCACAAAATCCAAAGCCATACGCATCTCATATTTCAATTTTAGTCGTTTTATTTTATCTTTCTCTCTCCCAGCCTTTCGTTTTGTATTATACAGCGTATAAAGATACCCCACTTCTTTTCTCAAGTATAATATGCAAATTTTATATCCAAACTCTATGTCAATATTCACACACTTAGGTCTACAATTAGATTTAAGGATTAGGTCAAAATCAGAAACCTAAACAAGGGAGGACAGAGAGCATACAAGGAAAAAGACAAACCTGTCCATCAGGAAGGTATGTTCCACGTCTCACATGTTCTAAGCATTCTGTCATAAGCAACTTCATCCTCAGCACAACATGCAAATTGCTCTTTTAGTTTCTCAGCATCAGAGATGCTGAGGTTCACAATAGGATTTGATTTACCCAGTTCTTGAGCAGTAACTTTGTTAAATCACTACCTCCGACTTCAAATCTTCTAGAGGCAATGTGTTGGACAGCACCTTCAAGTACCGCAGCTATGTCTGTTGATAGAAGTCCAATTCACATGGCAGAACAATCATTAATAACAAAAAGCATTTGCAGGCTTGCAGCTTAAAGCCAATTGAAGGTAACTCCTGACATCATCCGCAGCTAACTTCCAACTCTATGCCGTAAATAAACACTTGACCAGCTAAATTCTTATGCATTTGAAAAAGAACTTGAAAGACAGCTTCATGCTGGTCATATTTCCATTTATATGAGCCAAATTCATATTTCCATTTGCAGACATCAGTGCTAGCATCAATATCACCAACACCCCTTTCAGATGCAGGGTGGCCTGTACTCATAGGAACGCCTTCTTTTCCTGCTTCATCTTCCAGCCATCACTCTCTCCTTCCAAGCTACATTCCCCATTCCAGGTGAACCAAACTCCCTCACGGGATCCAACCCTAATATTCCTGCAAGGAATTCAATGTTTATATCAATTAGCCATAAGAGCATATAAAGGGAAGATGGATTTCATTTGTGCAATTAATTATGCCAGCCTGTAACAAAGAGGGTGAATCTTTTTTCCACCAACAGCCCGGAGATGCCATAGAAATCCGCTCAGTGATTCAGCAGATAACTCACCAGACACCTACAATATGTCAGTGGGGAAAGGAAAGTTCCAATCCATCATTCCATGAATAATTACAAAAAACAACAGCTTATAGACTTACCTCCTGCCCATTGGTGAGCAGGGGAAGATGGGTTATGAGAACCTCTTTATCATAGTTTGGAGCACTAACATCCTCCCCTCTTGCATAAGTTGCATGCCAGCTCAACATTCTTTCTGAATTTTCTGCTTCTGATTTTGGTTTTGTTTTCTGAAGAGTAATTAAAATCACTAGCATCGTCATCTGCATCATCACCCTCTTCTCTACTCCGAGGATAGCAGGACTACCTGAACATAGAAAGATGAAAAAAATAGTGATGAATATATTGGAAAAGTACAATAATGGGAAAATCTGTTCAATACTGGTGTAATAAGAAGTTCTTACAAATAAAAAAAAAATCTCACAAATGTAATACTATATATATATGGACGTTCTGAGAACCATGTGTACATCTAGTGGGATACAAATTTTAAATTACCTTTGTGCCTCTTGTATCTGGTTTTGCATTGAGGGCATGACTGATTCCCATCCTTCCTTTCATATTCATAGCGGACGGCAGACAGGAAATGCACATACTCACAAGCAATGAATTGGATCACCATCCACATTCTTTCCAACAGTATCACCACAGATTGGCATACCTGGCCACCAAGATTCTTCATGGGCTTTCCCTGATCAATCAAAGGTAAAAAATCACAGTCAGCGACAGATATGCACACCTCCAGCAATCCAGATAAAAATCTAGCCGATATGCCTAACTATAAGTAAGGACATATCTCAAGTATAGAGACATCATTCGAGCTGTAATAACTAGGTTATGATTTCATATGAAGTGAGTAAACCATTTGCAAACAAGTGCACTTGAACTACTTTTTTAAAAATGGAACCTAATGCAATTAATCCAATATGTGGCTAATTTTCTCTTATCATCAATTTCCCAATCAATAAGGCAACTGAAAATTACAGAACTGTGAATAATTCTTGCAATACATACTCCAATATCTCCTGATTCCATTGTCACCGCCTTTGTCAGTTGGGAACAATGGATCCAAACTGTTTCTTGATTATCAACAAGATGTGTGCATGCCTTTATTTGCCAAATCTGAAAATAAATAAATAACAAGAAACAAAGCTTATCATTCACTAGCTAGAACTGCAAAAAACCCAAAGCACTTCTCACCAAATAAACCTAAATAAAAACTGTAACAAAAATCTCGTTGTTAGATATAAATTTATTAACAAGATGTCACTTGATTTTAAAATTATCAATTTTAAAATATATGTGCGTAAGATTTTTATAATATATCTTGAAGTAGAGTGGCATTTCCTTAAAAGATTATGAGTGATGATCAAAATAAGGATGAACTACCTATTTGTGTCACCCTCCTGTTTTTTAATTTCATTTTAGTTATTCAATTATTATATTTTTTAAAAATTATGCCTAATTATGTTTTGATTTTGTTTTAATCATCCGTAGTTAAAATTTAATGGTGATACTGGCATGTCATCATAAGAAAATGTTACGTCAATATTAAAAATAATTAAAAATATCACATCAATATCGTTGTTAATTTTTAATAACTATGACCAAAACAGAAAATTAAGTAATGTGAGTGGCCAAATAGGTAATTACCCTTAAAATTAATACTTTATGTTAATGATAATGACTAAATTGAAAGTATTCTAAAAATTAATGATTTTATTGAAAGATTTTCTTTATGAGATTGTAAATAATTAAAAAAATATTAGACGAGTCTACCCTGTGTATTTTCCGATGTGGCTATTCCTATCTCGTCTGGTTACCTCTAGGGTTGAACAAAACTCGCCTCGACTCGAAAAATTGATTTTTTTCAACTCGAAAAAATTTCAGGTTCAAATCGAGTTGTAAAACGCAACTCAATAACTCTAAATTTTAGTAATAAATAAGAGAAAGCCTACCTCTCCCTCTAGATAACTTGCTGCTAAGGTTGAAGAAAGGATAAAAGATACTATTTTCCTTGGAAAAAAATGGAATTATTCAAGGGATCTAATTAAAATAGGGGTAAACTTTAAAAATATCATTACGACAATAACAACACCTTGATCATTTTGAGATAATTTAGTGTATTTTTTGAGTTTACCCTCAAAATAAAGAGACACATCACTAACGGATTGATTCAAATAAACAGTTGATATCGTTTAAGTAAGGTCTCAGGTTGAGTCATTGTATATGTAAAAAAAATCATTGGGAGATTACACACCAAAATAAGTATACGACGCGAATCGATTCGAATTAACAAAACCCTAAATACACCAAATAATTAACAAGACAAAGCCTGCTCCTTAGGTACCTATCTATTACAGGAAGCTATATCATACATGTAAACTATACCTGCAATAGCTACAACCTTTTGCTACTGCTCACTAAACCAAAGCACGATGTTGAGATTTCACAACCACAAAAATAACGCATTAAGAAAACCTTGCACATCAAATTGATATTCAAACTAGAAAATATTCCAAATTAATTATTGAGAATTTTATGAATAGATTATTCATTTGCATACCCTTTATCTTGGACATAATTGTTAATTCAAATTTAACATGAAATATATGAATCAAATTTTTAACATAGTGTTACCCACATATCATTTTTTTAACACGTTAAATAAGTGCCAGTTTGATATAGCTTTTGAAAAGTGGCTTTTAAAAGCGTTGTAGAAAACGAACTTTAAGAGTGTCGTATAAAGTACAGTTTAAAATTTAATTGTTTGAGATTGCTATCAAAGAGTGAGTTTGAAAAGATAAAATGTCTATTATAGACATTATATTATAAATTAAATATAGTATTTAAATTATTTACAGTTATATACATATATGAATCATATCAATTTAAACAATTAAAAAATTGCCTATCGGGAAAGAATTGTTGGGCCCAAAATTGAAATGGCATGTTTAAGACAAAATTGGCCCAATAGGCATGCAGATAAAAAATTAGTCCATTAGGTCATTTTAAAATTAATTTGGGATTTACGACAAATGTTACAGTGCAGGGTAGGGTAAACTCGTCACGCTCACATAACAGGTTTTTTCAAATAATATTTTTATTTAAATTTCTTACATCGAAGTGATGAGTTCCAATAAAAAATATATTCTATTAAAACTCGTCATACCTATTTAGCCAGTTTCAAGTTACTATAACAATGTCGTTTCTCAAAATAAAATATCTGACTTCGTCATACCTATTTAGCCAGTTTCAAGTTACTGTAACAAATGTCGTAATTCTCAAAATAAAATATCTGACTTCATATTGAGTTAAAATAGTCTGCCTACGGTACTGGGCCAAAATTGCCCAGGTTTAAAGGCAACGGCCGCTCTATCTAGAACTCAGTCCACTTCTGTGTGTGGTTCAGGTTCTTTCCATAACTGAAAACCCACCATCATCTTCCTTCTTTGATAGTAATTTTTTTTCTCACAGTGCTTTCTTGGCAACTCTAAGCTTCATTCCCACAAGAATCGAATCTCGATCACTCTAATCTCTAAAACCAATCTCAAAACCTCAATTTTCCCACCAAACCCAACAACGTATCATTCCTTTTGTATCTAAAAAACACCAACAACTCCACCGTTTTAAACCAAAACTCTGTATCCGAAAGCTTGGTATCAAAATGCCGAAGAAGCTTTCGATGAAGGTGAGGAAGATGACCCAATTTCAGAGTTGAGCTATCTTGACCCGGAGACCGATCCTCTAGTGTTACAGAGTGGGAGATGGATTTTGCTCGAGGCCAATTCTGAATATTAGAGGGAAGAATATGGGAACTCGTTGTATGTGATAGTTCGCTTTCACTTCAATATACCAAGTATTTCCCCAACAATGTTATCAATAGCATCACTTTGAAAGATGCACTTGTGACCATAAGTGAGGATTTACGTGTACCTTGCCAGAAAAAGTTCGGTTCTTCAGGTAAAGTTTTACTGATTTCTTGTAACTTACTTAATATTCCCTATTGTTGATTAGCGTAATGAACTAGCATAATCGGCTTATGTTTTGTTGGATTATAGGTCACAAATGCAAATCATAATCACGAAGGCACGTAAAGAGCTTGGCATAAAGCCAGTTCCAAGCAAACGGGTGAGTTTTGAGTTTTGCATCTTGCGGTTTCTTACAAGTTACAGATTTTAGCTATAAAGCTCAGTTTTCAGCTTCTAGTTGCAAATATGAAAAATCAAAGGTGTAAATATAAAGCATTCAATAAACGGTTGGTAAACAGTTCGTCTATTTAGCTAAGTATGAACAAAATTTTTATATTATTTAATAATGAACAAACATATGTATGTTCAGTTCGTTTATGTCACAAACAAGTTTATTTATCGATTCGTTTATTGGGTTCATTTAAACCCCTAACGAAAAATCCATATTCATATGTTTGATGTTAGTCTTTTTCAGTCTATCACTGTTACTTTGGTTGGAAGAACGTTATGAGAGTGTATATATGCGCCATCCGGTTTTTAAAAAGGTTCCAAGCCACTTTTGGCATTAGATAACCTTTCCCAATGGAACTTCCAGAGAACTTATTTGAGAAAAATGGCATTTGTTCGGTTACCTTTTTCAGGTATATCTTTAACATTTAATATCGTTTCAAAATTACATATACTACCTGGAGTAGTCTTCCTTTCTCAACTAAAATGTTATTAGTATTCTGTTCAATATGCTCTCTTTTGACATCAGGTTTGGTTTGTGTTTGGTGCTGGTTTAGATATGGATTTACTGGGAATTGAAGTAGATGACAATACCTTGATTCCAGGACTTGCGGTGACTTCTTCACGTGCACAACCATTAGCAGGCATGTTAATATATTTCTTCCAATGAAACCATAGTTATTTAGTAATGAGGATTTCTAGAAGGGTCAATGAAAAATATGTTGGTGATGCAGCTTGGATGAATGGATTGGAAGTGTGTTCGGTAGAGGCCAACACCGGTCGCGGTGGCTTGATCCTATCTGTTGGAATATCGACTTGTTATGTTTACGTTATGTATAAGAAAACTCCAACCACCACGAGTGAAGCTGAAGCTTGGGAAGCAGAAAAGAAGGCATGTGGAGGATTACATTTCCTGGCATCCAGAGGACTTGGATTCGGATGATTGTGTCGGGTTCTGGCTCCTGTTGGACTTGCCTCCACCCCCTGTATAATTAAGAATCAATATATGTCATTGGACCTGTATTTGATTCTAAACTTCCAATGAATATAGCCAATTAGTTTTCACGTGTACATGGCTCAAATATAACGTTTATAAACGTGAATTCAGAAATGCAAAATTTAGATGGGATATGTAAAAGAAAATCGGACGGTATTCCATTCCAACCACTACAATAAAATGCGTCAATGGACAGCCTTCGGTTCTTCTTCACTAGAAGATTTAACTGTAACTTCCCCAAAACAAAATGCCTATGCTATAACATTAGTACAAATAAACAACTTCAAGATTATAAAATGGGGGAACAAAAATCTCTACAAATCCACTCACTCTGAATAAAATAGGGTTCCAGCTTCAAATTTTTGATATCTTTTGTTTTTGAAGAACAAATCGAACGCCTTGCTTCCCAATTTCCAAAGTCTTCATTCTACCATCATCTAACCTGACAGATAATGCGGATGTGCCCTCGATACTGCCCGTAACAGCTCCCTTGTGCCTGCTTGTTCAATTTCAAAACAGATGAGGATTAAATTCTGGGAACGAGCCTCAGAATCTAAAGTCTACAGCTATCAGAAACATACTTGGTTGAGATTAACTATGAAAATGAAAACATCATGAATCCTTTTTTTCTAATTCTAGAGCTCGAATTCTGAAGCAAACATGTGCAAAAGAAATTGTGGTTTGTTCAGTATTAAAGACTAAAGAGAGTCAAATCTTACCACGAATTGTCAGAGGCTTGATGAATTTCAACTTTCTTTCCAACTGCATCTTTACCTAACTTTCTTGATGTGATTGTGTGAAATTAACATCTTCATCTTCATTAAAAAATGATTTCTCCATGAAGGGCAATGGTCTCTTCTTTTCGACCTTTGGCCCTTTATAGAACTCTTTTCTTCATCATAATGAACCTGGGGATTCTGATTGTCAAGAACAGGTTTCTTCACTTTAAACTTAAGAGTTGGTTTGGGATATTTTGGCAAAGAATTCAAGATAGGCGTGTGGCCATAATCTTCGCTACTTTCACCATACATATCATCTCTGTCTTCCAACTGCTTTCCTGACACCACTTTACCCCCTCTAAGGGTGAAGACATCACCAGAAGGTGCAGCAGAGAGCCTATTTCCATCTACGTTTCCTTTTCCCAAAGCAACACGGGTGTGTTCTAGAGGAACAATTCCATGTCCATCAGAACTGTTTGCTGCACCAACTTTGGACCTCGATTCAGGAATTCGGACCTAATTCTGCCAAACTTTATCAATTTCCCTTCTCTTCCCATAATTTTCACAACTCTGACTTGGTGGAGCGATCAACTCCATCTACTGCAAACAGAAAACATTTGCACTGTCACAATCAATAACATTGAAAGGGGAAAAAAAACCTCACAAATGGTCACCAATTCCAGGGGGGAAAAAGCAATCTTTTGAACACCAAGGTAATGGATTCATGATAAATATATTACCGCCACCAGATTTAGCAGTACTGTCATGCGACTCCAGAAACTTGTCATCAATTCTATGTTGATTTGCATCTTGAACACCTAATAGCAGTCAGACATGAGACGGCATATCAGTTTTCAGATTAAAGCTCAAACAAGAGAGAATAACAAACCATTTTATTGCATGTCTCGAATATCTTGTTCATTCTATGAATAAAATCTTAACAATTGAAGGGGCCAGAGAAAAACCTAAATTTAATTTGGTGCAGCTAAGATATTAAATTGCAACCTAGGAGTATACACTAAAAGCACATCAGATGAAATGATGGATGTCTGACTGTAAGAAAATATGATCAGCATAATATGTGAACCCACGCAAATACAAGTTGTATTATAAACAGGGTAAGTGAAGCCATACCATTGTATGAAGTCGCATTTTGATCTCTTTGAAAGATTGAAGCATCAGACATTGGGGAGTTGGTAACATTTATTTTTGTGCACCAAGATTAATGACTAATTTCTTAGCTTTCACAGTCTTTGATTTGCTACTATGTTTTCTATTGTCATCTCCACGGTCTAAATCGTGTGGTTTATTGCTTTTGATTTTAATAACACGAGATGTCCCATCTTCATCACTAACCATCACCTCATCTACCAGCTTGTGTTTCAAAACCCTGGCTGATTGGTAGAACAAATACCAGCAACAGAAGAAAAAATATTTTGTTCTTCATTCATCTGAGATGCAACTTCATTGTTCCTGTCCTCAGCCAAGCTGTATCCTTGATATTGTATATCCTGATTCCCCTCAAAACTCAGCTGTGATTCTCCTTTGCTAATCAAGGATGCTTGGTGTGCCTTTTTCTTGGAATATTTTTACTTGAAGACTTTTTTCCATATTCCTTGTTCTTCGGTGATTTGTCAGCAAGACCCTTCAGTGAGAACTTCAGGGAACGTCCAAATTCATTTTTTAGCATCATAGACCATTTTCCTCATCATCTGAATACGGAGAGATAGAAATATATCTTCTTGAGTTGGCAGCCCGGCAGCAGCCCTCAGTCTAGCTATCAAATCTTGATCAGCTATGTCTCTTCTCTCCCAAAGCTCTCGAACAGCATCCTCCAGATCAGTAACCTGATAAAGATTTATGACAGCACTCGTAAGTTGAAAAGAATCCTTCGCCTATATCCCTTCAGAGAAAGAGAGAAGTGGAAGGAAACTACAATTCAAAGCTACCTGATAGCACTCTCCACGACATGTTGCACATTTATATTGCAGATTGTCATCTACTTGAAACAGCAGATATTTTTCATCACTGCGAAACACTTCTATCATATAAATAAAAATTTCCAAAAACTTGTGTGGCTGAAACGTCACTTTCTTCTTTCACTGGCGTACTAGAACTTTGTAAGGAAACAGCTCTTGTGGAGGATTTTACAGAATCTAAGGAATTCAACCATTTATTTGAAACTATATATTTACAAGGAATAAACTCATTGGAGTTGATGAATGATGAACGCAATCTATAAAATAAAACACCCACACACACATTCATAATGACAGTAACTGCCTCTTTATAAACATGCAATACACAATATGATAAAATAGAGAAGAATTAGAATGGTGACAAGAAAGAAACCTGATGCCATCACAGTGGCAGTGCACCCAACGCTGGCAAACATCACAGCAGACCATAGGTGTTGATTCGGAGTCCCTGTAAACCTGTAAGGTTGAAACAAAATGCCTAGTAAGTTCATTTCTTTAGAAAATCATGAAGCATGATAGATTCACAGTTTCACACGGTTTCTATTATCAATAAATAAAAGTAGTTCAGAATACCAGCATTTCTTTTTCTTCCGTTTGAAGGAACAACTTTAAGGAAATGAGATTCTTTCAAAACTCTCTAAGAAAACCTTAAATTGGCCCAGGTAATCACCGTTGATAATCACAAAAAATGAATTTACCTTCAAACATACAGGGCAATAATTTCCTTTCACAAACAACCTTCCACAAGCATCACAACAGGTGTATCCCAAAAACCACCTGCAAGATATAAAAAAATGAATTCAGATATTAATACTAGAGAAATGCTTCAGCAGAAGATCATCATTAGCTATCAGTTCTCAAGAACTACAACGCAAACGACATATTAAGGAGTTTCAGTAATTGAAAAGAAAAATGAAGCATTAATCTACACAGAGAGGAAAACTTCCAGTGCAAAACTCTGTTTCTATTGGTTACTAATCATACCGCACACTTAAACCCTTTCCAGGTACATTGGATCCACAGCTGTGACACCTTGTATGTTTTGGGCACAAATATGGCCCAGAAGAAACATTCTGCATAATCCAGGGATTATGTGAGCCAATCTATTCATAATCAATGTATAAAACTTAGCACAAGAAATGCAAATCTAACCTTATGTGAAGGATGTTGGCAGTAGCAATGATATGCACCATCACATCTTTTGCAGAACATGAGTCTAGTTGGATCTCCAGTACTTCGACACACCTAGAGAAGGAAGATAAGTAGCAATGAGTGCAACCAAAAATTTGAACATAATTTAGTGAAAACATGTATTAATATGAGAAAATAAATTACCTCACAGGTTCGACAGTAAGGCATGTCCAGGAAATCCAATGAAACAGATCTGCAATCATGCCAAATGTATAAGACTGTTAGTATAAGATAACAGCACAATAAATTATCTGCCTCCATTTTAGTACCTCTGTGCTTAGCCCAAGATTTCACGCAGCTCCTGTGGTACTTCTTGCCACAATTTCGGCAAGAGAGCATCCTTCTTGCCCTCTCACTCGCTTCATTCTCACCCAAGAAGCACATGTGGCACATCACATTTGTGTTGGACTGTCCTTGCTCATCTACAGCAGAACTTTTTGAT